ACCTGGGATTTGAAGTAGGTTTCCTGCGGGGTGGAGAGGACATCGGCCGAGGCGATGTCGAGGTGCAGCAGGATCTGGCGGAAGGACGGCCGGTTCCGGGGTTTGCTGTTCCTGGGGGATGGACACGGCCCTGAGGATGGGCTGGGAGAGTCCTGGAGGTGCTGGGGGGGTCTGGGAGTTCTCAGGAGGGTTCTGGGGGGTCCAGAATGTTCTGGGGACCAGGGACAGAGTGCACAGGACCCGGGGGGGGGGCAGCGCTACAACCAGGAGTCCCCCCGGCCCTGCACGGGGCAGGTTCTTCGTGCTGGCCCCACGGCCCTGCCTGTGGTGGGGTCCCCCATGGCACGGGTGCCCACAGAGCGTCCCCAGGGTGTCCCCACGTGTCCCCTGGGCACTCACCAGCACTGGCGCAGCAGCACCTTGAAGCCATCAGGGCAGCTGGAGGGGACGGGCAGGTGGAGGCTGTTGCTGCCCACGCCCCAGATTATGGCCGACGAGTCCACGTCCTTGTAGGGGATCTCGCCTGTCAGCAGCTCCCACAGCACCACCCCGAAGGACCTGTGGGCACCCGCAGCCCCCGTCACCCACAGTGGCCTCCTGCTGCCCCACGTCCCCTGGCCCTGCAATGTCGCTCCCAGTGTCCCCAGTGTCCCGATCTCTGGTGTCCCCCCGTGTCCTTGGTGTCTCCACAACGCCTCCCGTCCCCACTGCCCGCCACTGCTGTGTCCCCAGTGCCACCAGAGCTGCCCAGTGTCCCCGATGGCCGTGCAGCCTCACCAGATGTCCACCTTCTCGGAGACGGGCTCGTTGCGGATGACCTCGGGGGCCATCCAGGCCACGGTGCCGGCGAACGACATCTTGGTGCTCTTGTCGATGAGTTCCTTGGAGGTGCCGAAGTCCGAGATCTTCACCACGTCATCGTAGGTGATGAGCATGCTGGGGACACGCGCTCAGCGCCACGCCAATGCCACGGCCCCGCCGTGCCCGCGCACCCACCCCGTGCTCATCCCCGCGCCCGGGGGCACCCGGGGGTGCTCTGAGCCCCGTCCCCGGCTCACTTGGGCGACTTGAGGTCCCGGTGGATGATCTTGTGCAGGTGAAGGTAGTTCATGCCGCCGGCGATGCCCATGGACCAGTCGACCAGCAGGGAGGGGGTGACCTTGCGGCCGGCGCGCAGCACCTCGTAGAGCTGCCCCTGGGCGCAGAACTCCATGATGATGCAGTAACAGGGGGCCTGGGTGCACACGCCCCTGCGGGCACAGCGACACCTCAGCGCCCGCCGCGGGCCCCCGGGGCCACCGCTCGATCCAGGACACCCCACCAGGCTGCCCTGAGCATCTGTGCCCGGATCCTCGCCGTGTCCTGCCCGCCTTGGTCCACGCCATGCTGCCGGTCCCCGTGCCCGTGGTGTGTCCATGACCTCTGTGGCCGTGCCCGTGCCATGTCCATGCCGTGTCCATTCCATGCCATTCCATGCCCATGCTATGTCCATGCTGCATCCGTGCTATGTCCATTCCATGCCATTCCATGCCAAGCTGTGCCCATGCCATGCCCACGCCACGTCCATGTTCCAGCACGCTCCAAGCCCCGTGCCACGCCTGTGCCCCATTCCTGCAGTGTCCCCATGCCCACGGTGTCCCCCCGCTCACTTGAAGGTGATGATGTTGGGGTGCTTGAGCTTGCGCAGGTGTTTGATGTCGGTCTCCTTGAGGTCCCGCACCTTCTTCACGGCCACCTCCTCGCCGTGGAAGCGGCCCAGGAACACGGCGCCCTGCGCCCCGCTGCCCACCCACTGCAGGTCCAGGATCTCCTCGAACGGCACCTCCCAGGGGTCTGTGGGCACCCACGGCCATGGCACCCCCACCCCAGCGGGACCCCCAGCCCTGGCACCCCCAGTGCACCCCCATCCCCATGGCAGCCCTGGTGCACCCCCAGCCGTGGCACCCCCACCCCACACACCTCCTTCACCCCCTCTTTCCTCCTCTCACCCCCTCCTTTACCCCCTGGGACCCTCCTTTACCTCCCCCTTCACCCCATTCTTTACCCCTCACTCCCCCTTTATCCCTTCTGCCCCCTTTACCCCCTCAGCCTCTCCCCCTGTCCCTGTCCCCGCTGACCCTCGGGTGGGTGTTTGTCCCCTGTCCCCTGTCCCCTGTCCCCTGTCCCCTGTCCCCTGTCCCCTGTCCCCTGTCCCCGTCCCCTGTCCCCTGTCCCCGTCCCCGCTGACCCTCGGGTGGGTGTTTGTGCTCGGCCGCGTAGGCTTTGCCGATCATGGTCCACACGGGCTTCAGGCACCCGAAGAGCCCCTCCAGGAATCCTCCCCCGGCCTGGCAGCGCAGGTGGGCGGCATCGGCCGCCAGCGGCCCCGCGGCCTCGGGGCCGAGCTCGGGGGGCCGGGTTCCCCC